TAAGTACGATCAGTTATGGTCGTACTTAAATATGTGCTTTTTATGGAGAGCTTTTTAAAATAAAAAAAGTCGCAGAAGGAAATTAATGTCACAAAAAGTACAATTTCTAATAAAACAAAAAATACATACTTCAGATAACCAAAGACTATTCTCATTCGCGTGAAAGCTGCATATCTAATTGAGTCGAATGACACCGTACTTTTGTGGAAGGTATTTTATTCGTTGTAGAAGTCCCCAAGGAAATTTCCAAGTCCTTCTAGACGCCGTTGCATGCAAAATCTCTCTCTCCTCGGAAGTCTATTGACGCTACAGTTTCTAAAAATTTCCACATCCCCCTCTCCTTCAGCGGCGCTGGCCAATTCTTTATTCAGCTCACCTCTCGCCTTCTGCAAAAATCCTTTTGGCATGTAACTTATCCATCATAAGGCATAGGGTGGCCTTTGGGTGAGTGTGAATTAATTACTATTTATCTTTCGTCGAGACAAGCTCGCAAAATTAAAATTATTTCGATAGATGATTTGGTCACCGGCTCGGCAGCGTTTACAGTACGAAAACTAGTAACACCCCCAAAAAATGAGTAAAAAATAATATACCAGTAGAACTTTTCACAGCTCAAAGTTCTAGGTGACTGATGCTATGTAAGAGCGTAGCTTGAGGACAGAATCCGGATCCTCCGAAGGACAAATCCAACGCTTAACTCGCTCTAACTTAGCGTCTCTCGACAGAAACAAGAGAGGAGTTTCTGGGCATTGATATTCACTGGCGTAGGACAAAAATCATCTACAACTAAAAGAACTGAAAAGGAACTCTCTTTTCATTATTTTAAAACCATATGGAGCGATTTTTTAATTAACTCATAACAAATTGAACGAGAGAGCGAGAGGTTTCGCTAATGCAAAGTTCCTCCATCTAGCTACCCTTCGCGTGAAAAGGGTAGCGAGGTAGGGTTCCACAATGGTCGAGAATAATCGCCAACTTGAAAAAAAATGTGGATCCAGATTATGTTATTTTATAGAAAAATTTTTTAAAGCGGTTTCAAGGCGTAAGTTTTATATTCGAGGAACGAATAAAATACCCGCTGAAAGACAGTCAACAAATTCAACCTACATTACTTGCCCTTGACTGATCGCGTAAACATCGTTTAATGCTTAACCATTTTTTTTTTTCACGGTAAATTTTCACAACTGTTTAACCCATTAAAATCGTAGCTTACGCTACACTAAAATCATATTTACTAAAAGGACCCTATATTTGTGCCTGATAAACGCATGTAGCTTTCACTAACTCGTGAAACTAGCGTTGGCCTTACCTGTTTCGATGAAAACTATGACAAATCACTTGCTAATCCTTGCCTTGCGAAGTCAGCTAAATACCTTGAAGGTCTTTTATTTTTCCCCCTTGTTTCTGTCTCTTCTAAATGCACAAGAAAGTGAAATTTCTGCTACCTAGAAGTGTTCTTTTCTCAGAGTATGATCCAAATATTGTCGGAGAGGACCTCTTTGATCTATTGAAAATACTGAGTTCTGATATCTAAATACAGCTGTCATCAGGCGAATATAGGTTTTTTTTTTGTCACAGTGGCAGGTCGGAACTTTGTTTAACCGACTGAAAAGAGGTGTTCACTTGTTCAATTCAAACAAGAAGTACAAAAAGAATGATCTTGACTGCTGAAGAGCTCCAAGGAAGTATAATTTCCTATTTGTCTTGAAAGCGGTCTTATTTCAGTGACACATTTCGCTGTCATCCCTGTCAAGACAAAAAGCCAAGCACAAGGTGCGTGGGCCAAAAATCCGGGTAAAAAAAAAAGCCAGGTTCCATAACTTACAGTACCATATCATATCATATCCCTAGGTTCAAATAGCGGAGGAAGGTGTCAAC